GTATGCATTCGGTGGGCGGTTGGAATAGGGAGTGGAGGCCTTAAGCTGGTCCCAGACACCCGTTCCCTGTGGCGAGTGGAGTGAGAAGCAAAGGCCAGACCCCGAGCCCTGAGAGGCTGGGCAGCGGGAGCGAATCGGACAGGAAAGGAGACAGAGAGGTCAGGAGAGAGGTGGAGCCCCCGAAGGCCGTGGTCCGAGGAAGTCCAAGGGGGAGAAGATTTTGAGGGTGGATGCAGGAGCGGCCCAAGGAGGGCAGTGCCCTTGCCATGCGTTGATGAATAGGTTATGGGTGACTTACCAGAGAGAAGGTGGGGGCACGCCCGCACTCGTACAACAAGCTGACGGTGACAAGGAGTTAGGGAGGAGTGGCTAGAGTGGGCGCAGAACCGGGCTCAGGACACGGCTGCTCTCTGTTGACATGCCAAAGGGGCAAAGGCAGTCAGAGGGACCGGTCAGAGATTTGAAGTGGGGAGGAGGGACAACACACACACACACACACACACACACACACACACACACGCCACTCAGGTTGGGTGGGCTTGAACAGGAAGAATAGTGGGTGCCTGTACAGGTGCAGGTTCGATGGGAGGGGTGGAAGGAGGTGACCACTCTGTCACATTTCCCTAGAGCCCTCAGTTGGCTCCTGTCCTCTTTGGCTCAGAACCCTGCGAGGCTCCTAGATGGACCATTCCCAACCACGCCCAGCCTGCCTGGAGCACCGCCAGCCTTGTTCAGAGCCCAGGGGCGTGTGCCTCCAAAGGAGTCCCACCCCAGATCCCACCCCACCCTGGAGGAACAGGCCGAGCCGGCAGCCCTGGGAGGTCACCCAGAGGACAGGAGGGGTGGGTGGGGAGCAGAGCCCCGTGCCAAGAGCACCCAATCGAAACTCAGCCAACAAAACGGAAGTGTGCCTGCCTGTCTTCCCCAAGTCCCCATGGCTGTGGGAACTCAGGGGCCCTGGAAGGACAGGCTAATGACAACCCCCTCCCACGGAGACCCAAGGTGCTGACCATAGAGAAGCCAAGCCCATCCAGAAAGCCCACTCTTTAGGCCCCAGCTCTCCCTCGCCTTTGAGCCAAATGAAGTGTGGGCCCCAAAGCCAGAGAGGACAGTGTTTGTGGAGGCCATTCCGTGGGAGCCTCAGGGACACCCACATAATGAGATGACCTCAACTGGGGTACTTCACCTGGCCCAACAGCAGAATCACCTGCGGGGCCTTTACAACTCCTCAGCTGCCCCCCACCCTCCCACAACCCTGTCCAAACCAGTGCTTGGGGCAGGGCCAGGCATGAGGAGCTGCACCCTGAGAACAGGGCCCGAGGGAGAAGTCAGGCTAAGGGGACACCCCCAAACCAGGCTCTCATGTGGATACAGGTGCCACCTCAGCCAAGGTGGCACAGGCAGGCTCACCAAATGACTGTGCATGCCCCACACCAGCACCCTTGGGCTCCAGCCTCTGGTCGGGGCCTTCCTTTGCCTGCCTGATCTCGAGCCTCCTTTGCCCCTGCCCTTGCCCCTGCACTTCCTGTGAGGGCTCGGGAGAGGACAGAGAGGGGCAGGGATGGGAGGCAAGTAGCTGGTTGGTCCTGGCCCATCCGGGCACAAGCCTCAGAATGTGAGAGTGTGGTTGGGGACAGAGGAGAGTGGTCAGCACCTCCTCACAGTGGGGCAGGGGGTGGGGCTGGGGAGCCCAGACAGGGCATCCTGAAGAGCCAGCTTCTGTGACCAGGAAACTTGTGGGCTTGGCGCAGGGTTGGCTCAGTTGCTGGTCCCTGCAGCCAGTGTGGGGCTGGAGGTCCCCTCCGACCCTGGGGGTCGAGCCCATGGGGAACAGCAAGCATCTGGCTGAGAACTGGAAGCAGTGACGTGCTGGCTGCCCATTCTGGTCTCAGCCACACGAGTCACTCCTGCGGCTCTGGGCTAGCTAGCCGAGGGCTGTGGTTCCAGCCCGTCCTTCCCCTCTCCCTACCCCAGCACCTCCCTGTGGCTCAGAGTTTCTGACTCCTCAGGAATTTACAGAAGGTGTCCCTGCTTCCTGGGCCTGGCTCCCTGCCCTCCGTGACCTCATTTGTGTGTGTGCCCAGGGTCCCTGTCCCTGGGGGCGGGGCAGTGTGATGTGTCACACGTGTGGCGAGTTGGAGAAATCCCTCCTGATCCGTCCCTTGATTCAGGGCAGAGGGTTGGGTTAGGCATGCTCCCTGGGGTTCTGGACCGCAGAGGATGGTGGTGGGACATGATACGGAAGTCCTTCTCTGGAAGGGTATAGGGCCCCAGACCTGCTCGGGGCGTCTTCTCACCGTGGGTCCACACCCCAAATGCATACCAGGCCTGGCTCAACTTGGGTGTCCCTGTCCTGAGCCAGAGCCAGGCGCAGGTGCAGGAGGCAGAGGCTTGGGAGATGAGCGTGCGGGTACAGTGAGCAGCCGGGCTGGGGCTGCAGGGCTATGAAAACGGAAGGATGGAGACTGAGAGGTCTGGGATCCAGCCAGGCAGGTGGGAGGCTGAGCCTGCACTGGGAGGGAACAGCAGCTGCAAGAGAGTGAGCAGGCTGCAGGTGGGTGGCCAGGGTGCTACTTAGCATCTTGGCTCGGGAGAAGCACCTCTGAGGGGGTGGTAAAGCTAGATGGTCCCCAAGGGCTTAGAGTATAGGTTCCCAAACCTTTTTTTACCTACCACTCCCTTTTCAGGAAACAAAAAGACAGCACCCTCCTGGCAATCAAAAGCGTTTATACGATGGCTGTGTTCATCTGGGTTGATTAGAGAAACAAATCCAGAGACACTCCTATGTGTGTAAGAGAGAGTTTTATCTCAAAGAGTAATTTTATATTAAGAAAACAGCCCAGCCCAGCCCAGATCAAGTCCATAAGTCCGATATTAGCCTATATGTCCTATACCAGTCTATAAATTCCTCTTCAGACTCACACAACACATACAATAATGCCGAATGCAGGAAGAGCACAGGCCAGTGGGTGGAAAGTCTTGTGGATGCAGCAGCAGTGGAAGCATCTCAGCGCTACCATGGGTCTCCACGTGGCTGCTCCAGCTCCGGGGCTCTGGCTTCTTCCGCATAGCTCCATGTGGCTTGTCAACCGGAATGTGAAGCAGAGAGAGTGTGTGCGCCACCTCCAGGGAGGAAGACAGGAGTTCCCAGAATCCTCAGGAGAAGGCCATGCCCACACAGAGGTCTCATGGGCTATGACCTGATTGACAGGCTAGACTCCACCTCTTCACTCAAGTTGACAGGAGATGATCTAGCTGCTACGATGACCTATGATCAGGATAAAGAGTGGCTGTTTGCAGGCTGCTGGATCATTTCAGTGCCCCCAGGGGGCAGTATCACCCACTTTGGGAAAACCTGGCAGAAGGCTGAAGCTGCTCATCCAGGACCTCCTGGCACCTAGCCAGGGTCTGAACATCCCCATTGGGAAGGGGTGCAGGAAGGAGCGTCCCAGAAGAGGAACTGGTTCCTGTCCCCCTTCATTTTTGGAGGGCATGTAGGTACACACAGGCATGGGTGGGCATGTTTGGGGGGACAAGCAGAATGGACACATGTCAGCACACGCAGACACACACGTGTGGGCATAGGTAGGTGCACAGGTGATGTTTTGATTCTCTAGTGTCGCTATAACAGCAATGTCACAGGTGGGAGGCTTTAACAAACATGGATTCTCTCACACTTTAGGATGTTGGAAGCCCAAATGCAGGGCGTCACTTCTAGGGGAAGGCTTTTTCTATCAGGAGGAAGGCTCTGTCTTCCTTTGTCCATCTGTGGGTCCAGTGTTCCTCAAAGATCTCCATGGGTATTGTCATCCATCATCCCGAGTCTCGGAGGTTCTCAGCACAGGGACCCTGCATCCAAAGGATAGGCTCTGTTCTTGGCGTTTTCTTTTTCGGTGGTTGTCCCTCCTCCGCTGACTTTTCCCTCCTCCTATCTCTCGTCAGAGAAAAGATCACGCCGGCCACATCCCAGGGACACATTCCCCTTCCATTGGATCAGAACTGTAAACCGAGTTAAGGTGTTGCAGCTCGTCCTAATCCCTGGACAACTCATTGGTTGATCACGTCACGGGAGGTGATCACATCATTGCGTAACTGCCCAACCGCCGAGAATCAGCCCAGCCAAGTTGACATGTATGAGTGGGCAGAGTCAGGGTGGGAATAAGTGGGCGCACAGGCAGGCGAGGTGCTTGGGCTTGGTGCCCACGCCAGAGGAGGTTGGCCCAGGTGGGCAGGCGAGCAGATGGTGGTGTGGTCAGAATCCACTTTCCTTCCTCGTGGCTGTGGCTGGTGGGCTTCCGGTGCCAATGTGCCCAGAGCCTTTCCTTTTCGGGAGCCCCACCCCCGACACCTCGCGCGTGTGCACACACACACTTCCTCTTTCTCAGCACACCCTCCTCAGGTCTCAGGGGAGCTGCTCACCGCTCGCTGTCCTGTTTCCGCCCCAGGAGCTAGTCCAGACCCGGCGAGGGGGGTCCTACGGCCCCTTCTCTGCCCCCATCTCTGCAGTATCCCCCACCCATGCCCCTTCCCTGTGGGTTAAATGTGCACCTCTCTCATGTCTCTGCTGCCTGGCCGTGTCTGTCCGCACCCGGGCTTCAGAACAGGGTGCAGGGCTGCTTGCAGACCCCAGAAGGGGACAGCCAGCGGTGGCCTAAACCTGTGGCATCATCCAGTCAATTCTGACTCATCAGGACCCAGGTGGACAGGGTAGAACTGCCCTGTGGGGGGTTCTAAGGCTGTCAATCTTTATGAAGTAGGCGGCTACGTCTTTCTCCTGCGGAGGAGCTGGTGGATTTGAATCACCGGCCTTTGCATTAGCAGCCCAGTGCTCACAGCTGCACTAGCACCGCTTCAAGGGCGCATCACGCCCGTGACCTGGGCCTCCGGCTCACCCCAGCCCACATCTCCGTCTCAGGCTGCACTTCCGCAGCTCCGACAGGAAATGGGCTGTGCCTCCCACCCTCCAGACAACTTCTTGTTTCCCTGCTGCCCTGTGCCAGCCCTGGGTTGTGCCCCTTGGCTCCACCCCCAGAGCTTTCTCAGGGCTCTGTCCCCCGTGCTGAGGGACAGGATGGTGGACATGATTGCCAAGCTGACTAGACGGCAGAGTCAGGCCCTTTCCGGGAAGGTAGGGACTCCAGCATCAAAGGCACCTGCAGGGACAGGGGCGGGGGGCCGGCTATGGGCCTCTGTCCTTTAGCCCCGGGTGAGCAGGGGTCTGAGGCAGGGGTCTCATGGAGTCCTAAACCTCCCCTTCTCTGAGGCCCGGGGGCGGGAGTGGGGGAAGAGAGAGGGGAGAAGGGGCAGAGGAGGGGGCAGGGAGTGGCTGAGAGGGTGGGTGGCTGGAGCAGGGGAGGCAGGACTACCTGCTCATGGGCAAGGGGAGGGAATGGAAGACAAGGGGCGTCTGCTGTCAGGACGTGCTGGGTATAGTGAGAGAGCCAGACCCCTCTTGGCACTGTCCTTTGGCCTGGGTGAGGGGGGACTTCCTCTTTCTTACTCAGTGTACCTTATGTCTTTTGGATATGACTGGAGGCCAAGCCCCAGGAGCCTGGGTATGCAGCCAGGCCTGGGTTTTGTGGGGGGTCTCTAGGAGCCGGTCAGATAGGCCTTCGGCTGTGGCTGAGGGGGAAATGCCCCAGCACTGTGGGGGCCCTGCCGAGAGGTCTGAGGCCAAAGGGGCCTGTGGGGGCTCCCCAGCCTTCCAAGCTGCCTGCTTCTGGGGCAGCTGCAATCTTTAGAGTGTACTTCCTTCAAAGGGGCCTGCCTGTCCCCATCTGATCAGGATTGAGCCCAGGTGTAGCTTGCATCTTCTCCTCCTGACGGCCCTGTGACGCTGGGTGCCCACGCTTCTACTTCTACCCTCAGTAGCTCCTTGGTACCTGAGCTCCCAGACAGCTCCACCATCCTGGGGCTCCCTGTGACCCCAAAGAGCCTGCCGCCCTGGTTGGCTCATCACCTGCCATGGGCCTTTCCAACCCCAGGCCCATGGGCACGGCCCCAGAGTTCAGCGGGTTCTTCTGCCATCCTGTCCTCCCGAGCTGTCTCTGGCTTCAGAACTCCAACCCTCACTCTCCGAAAGTTCTTGGGCAAACAGGCATCAGGTGTCTGTGTTTTGCTGAAGTTTGCCACAGGTGTGCCGTGAGCACAGGAAGCCATGTGCTCTGTGCTGTGGAGCCTTGGAGCACCTGCTTGGGGCTGGGGGTGGGGACTGCTGCGATCCATTAGTCAATCTGGGTCTTGCTCTCCAGGAAGTCCTGCCTTTGGGGGTAGAGAAAGTCAGCAAATGAATGGACTACTCACCAGCTCTCCGGGCAGAATGCCATTGGGCCCCAAAGGTGACAAGCAGGAGCCAGAGAGCTAGACTTCTCATGGGAGGGAGAGCCAGTGGACAGGCAGGGTTTGGGTGGGCAGGGAATGAGACAAAGAAACGGGAGGGAGGGAGGGAGGTAGACAGACAGACAGACGTCATCATTTGTGTCTGTGAACAGTCTGGTGTGATGAACATACTGGGTGCCACAGAGGGCTGCAGTGGGAGAAAAGAAAGGAATCGTGGAATGCAGGTCACGTCTCCACCATATAGGGCCTTGGTTGGGGCTGCGCCCTGGGTCCCCCTGCGCCTGTCTGCACTCGTGGGAATTTAGCAACATCCCCTTCTCCCACCACATTTCGAGTCCAGCCCTCTGCTGGTCTAGCCCTCCTTGGCAGTGATCTTGAGACCACCATTGGTGGGTTGTATCGTTGACCACGCTTAGCTCCCTGCTACTCGCTCTCCGCCATGACACCTGGGCTTCCCACAGCCTCTGGCCTGAGCAGCTGGTCTTTGTTGGGCAGTGGCTCCTTGTAGACCTCAGGTGCCTGCCACAGGCCTTGGGGCGAAGCTTTCTCCCCTCTCAAGGTGTTTATAGCTAGTGGCTTAGTGCCTGGGTCACAGTCCACAGAGAAACATCCATGATGGTTTGGTTTAGTTTTTAAAAAGGGTGTGGTGTTTTTTTGTTGTTGGTTTTTTTTTTGTGTGTGTGTGTGTACAACATTTGAGGTCATAGTAAAGTTTAAAAGAGAAACAAAAACCAAACTGGACTTCTATGATCACACTGCCAGAGAAGATCTTGGTTAGCATTTTGGGTTTTGGGTTGTTTTTTTGTTTTTTTTTACACAAAACTGAAGTTTAGCTCAGTTTGCCATTTTGAACTTCTTTGCTTCTCCCACCCCCGAAGCATCATGCATCCTTGGGAAATATCTTGGACTCCCAAGTACTCTCCTGTTGGCTGGGCTCTGCTGGTGTCCTTTGTTCTCCTAGAGAGGGTACTGGGCTGGGGGCTGACCTGCAGGGTCACAGATTCTCAAAAGGAGGGGATGGAAGCAACCAGGGGAGAGGGCCTGGCAGGCCTTGAATAAGCTGAGGCCTGGGCAGACATGGCTACTGGAATTTAAAGTTCAAGGCCAGGGCCGAGGAGTGGCAGGATAAGGCAGAGGCCCAGGCAGGTGTTGGAAGCTTCTGTGCTATGTGGAGGCTTGGACTTTGCCCTGAGGGTGTTAGAGGGCACAGCAATGAGGGCTGCATTGGGGCAGGCAGAACCTCCGGGTCCGCCTCTCCCCCTCCCCCACTGTCTCCTTGGTGGGGGTGGGTGGCGGTACCCCTTCTTTAGCCCTTCCCTCCCAAGACTTTTCATCTTTTCCCTCCCTTATCGGAATTGAATCTGAGGGGCTGCAAACCCCCCACCAGCCAAGTTCCAACCCAAGCTTTAGGGGCTGGGAGTGAGGGAGAGGTGGGGCTCTCAATGAGCGGCCCCCCAATGTGTACTTCACTCTCAAATGGGCCTGGACCTCCCAGCATGTGACATGAAGGGGAGGGTCACGGGAAGGACCTGCCCCCAGCCACACCTACAGCTGTGAGAGCCCCGATATCTGTATTTTATTTTTGTTAATAAATAACACAAGAACGCTTCCCACGCATCTGGGTACTACAAGAACACCCGCGAGCGCATTTCCTCATTCTCTTGCCACAACTTCTGGAGATGGGCAGGACAGAATTTTTACAGCCGGGGACTTGCTGCAGGTGGCCCAGGTGGCAGGAGGCCTGGTCAGGGCTGGGGCCTGTGGCCACGTAGGCCTGGAGCTGCGCTGAAAGCGCCCTCTCTTCCTCCTCGTGCAGGTGGACGAGCCCGGGGAGCCCGTGTACGCGAACGTCCAGCGGCAGCCGCGGGCCACCTCCCCGGACGCCATCGCAGCCCCGCGCCCCGGCCCGGTCTGGGAGACGCTCACGGACGCGGACACCGGACGCCCCTACTACTACAACCCAGACACGGGCGTGACCACCTGGGAGTCGCCCTTCGAGGCCGCCGCCAGCCCGGCCACCTCCCTGGCCTCGGTGGGCAGCCGCGAGAGCCTCGAGGCCGAGTGGGACCAGTACTGGGACGAGGCGAGCCGCCGGGTGTTCTTCTACAACCCGCTCACGGGCGAGAAGGTCTGGGAGGACGAGCCCGAGGACCCGCTGGAGATGCAACCGGGCCTGAGTCCGAGCCCGGACAGCCCCCAGGACCGGCGGGTGAGGGGCGGGGCCTGCGTGGGGGCGGGGCCTACTGTGGGCGGGTCTGGCAGTCGGAGCCTCTGACCCCACCTCTGCTCCCTGCAGACCCGGGGACCCGCGAGTGAGGGGCGGGGCCTGGCGCGAGAGGCGGGGCCTGGAGTGGGCGGGGCTGATTCTGGGAGCGTCCCCCGCCCACCACCACACCAGGTGAGGCGGGGCGGGGCGGGCCTGGCTCTGAGAGCCTCAGACTCCACCTCCTGCTTCTGGCAGCCGCCCACACCTGAGACTGACTACCCCGAATCGCTGACAAGTTACCCCGAGGAAGATTATTCTCCAGTGGGCTCGCTCAGTGAACCCGGCCCTGCCTCTCCCTTGGCCACGCCCCCTGGCTGGTCTCAGCACGTGGGGACGGACGGACAGATTCTGTACACCAACCACTTCACCCAAGAGCAGGTAAGGGCAAGTGGGCAGGTGGGCCCTGTACAGCCACCGGGAGCTTCTTCTCGGTGCCCCTCCATTAACGCTCCTCGGCTGCTCCCCCACCGCCCCAGCCTGAGACTGGACAGTCCCCACAGCCGCCCCTCCAGCAGGTCCTCCCTGACCCTATCTGTCACTCCCCCAGTGGGTGAGGCTGGAGGACCAGCATGGGAAGCCGTACTTCTACAACCCGGAGGACTCCTCGGTGCGGTGGGAGCTGCCCCAGGTAACCATCTCGGGAGGAGGCCCTGGTGGTGGCTGGGTACTCTGTGAAAGCTTAGAGGTTTGAACCCCCCCAGAGGGCTTAGGAAGAAAGCTGCTGCCCTGCTGATCTTACAGACAGGAGCAGGGTTTATTCTGAGACACACGGGGTCACCAGCAACTGCTTTGGCTCCCCCTGCCCCCAGGTCCCTGTCCCTGCTCCTCGAAACACCCTCAGATCCAGCGACAGTGACACCCCGGCTCAGACCAGCCCACCCGAAGAGAAGGTGAGGGAGCATGCACAGCTCTGACAGGGACCCTGACAGAAAAGTAGGGGGTTCTGGGGGCCCTGGAGCAGGAACTGTGTCTGTCTCCCTGCCCAGCCCAGCACTGGCCCCAGAAGTCAGGGTATGCCCAGGCCCTGAGATGGGTGAGTTGGGAGCTGGGTAGATAACCTCTCCTGCCACTGCTGCCGCTGCCCAAGTCCACCATCCGTCAGGGGGCTGTGCAGCATGAGGAAGCTTCAGGGGAGACCCAGGCCCAGCCTGCGGGGAGGTGCTGGCCGGAGGGGAGACCAGCCTCTGCCTCATGTAATGCACCCCTTAACTGCCGCCTCTTTCCCCTTCTCGAAGATCAAGACGCTGGACAAGGCAGGCGTGCTCCACCGGACCAAGACTGTGGACAAGGGAAAGCGACTGCGGTGAGAGCCTGCCCGCACCCAGGGCACCGTGGGCCTCACTGATTCAGCTCACCGAGTACTCTCTGCCCTGTGAGGAAACTGAGCAAGCATAAAGTGACTTAGGACCTGAAGGTCCCTTGGCTACTCGGTGTGACAGTTGGGTGCTCCAGACTGTGCCTGATCTTGAGGGTGATTAACATGGAAAGGGGACTCAGCCCAGGGTCCCCTCCAAGCCCTGCCCACTCTCCACCCACCTAGGAAGAAGCATTGGAGTGCCTCTTGGACTGTGCTGGAGGGCGGTGTGCTGACATTCTTCAAGGACTCCAAGACCTCAGCTACCAGCGGCCTGGTGAGGCCCGTTCCCCCAGGGCAAGGGCCACCCATCTGCTCCGTCTGGTCAAGGGTTAGGTCTGGGACCATGAACACGAGTCCGTGAGCTAAGTCTTGCAGGGAGGGGGCTACAACAGCAGTCTGCCAAGGAGAAGCAGGGCCAGCCACCTCTGGAGGGTGGGCCATGCCAGCTTGCTGGAAGGGGGCTACATCCCTTCCTCTCACCCTTGCCTGGGTGGGCAGGCAGCAATGGACAAGCAGACCGGTAAGCTCCATGCTTAAGAAGCACCCAGATCTGTAGGTTCCTTGTCTTTCCGTTGCCTGGCTACCAGTGGCCCCAGGCAGTTTTTGGTGCCAGAGGGAGGCTGTTGGGTCTTCTCAGAGGGCCCCTGGTCATGGGGCTCTCCACCCTTGCCCTTCTTCAGAAGCAACCTTCCAAGCTCTCTACGCCGGAGTACACAGTGGAGCTGAGGGGCGCCTCGCTTGCCTTGGCTCCCAAAGACAAGTCCAGCAGGAAGAATGTCCTGGAGGTGAGTGGGGGGAGTGGTGAGATGAAGGAGTGTGCAGATGGCCTGGGACCCTCATTACTGGGCAAGCCCCACTGGAAGAACACGAGCCTGGGAGAGTTGTGGTAGGAACGCTCAGGGCTCAAGGCTCAAGTTACCCCACTTCTCACGGATTCTGCAGTTCCCTCTCCAGTAGCTGACTTGGCTAGTTTGGGGCCCCAAGACCAGGGAGGAGTAGGGACCAGTGGGAAATGAAACTCTATAATGCATAGAAGGGCAGCCCCTCACCCAGCCACTGGGTGAGAAGAGACAGGAGACGCCCATCCCCAGTCACTCACTCTGATAGGCTGCTCCGACCCAGCTTCTAGCTGGCCTGGGTCCCCTGTAAGTAAACCAGGGCACTGGACATGCAGGCTTCCCAGAAGGGAGAGAGAGGCCAGTGGGGTCCAGGCAAGGGTCTTCACAGTGCCACAACCTCGCCGGTCAGGTTTTGTCATTTTGCTTTAAAATTTAAGGTGCTTTCGGTGAACCTTTGTGTGGTGTATTCTATCCAGGGATGGTTCTGCGACACTGGTTGCGATCCCTGGACCCTGTTATGAACCCCCTTGTTCCCACCCTGGGGTTCCTGTTTCCGTTTGTCCAGTGGCCCCTCCCCTCCCTGCCTTCTCATCTTTGATTTTGGGCAAACGTTGCTCTTCTGGTCTTGCTTCATGGGTTGTTCCATAAAATAAACACTCGCCTATTATTTGGCTGGAAGGTGGCCTTCAGGAGTGTCGTCAACTTCAAATTAGAAGGTTGTCCTAGAGCAGAAGGCTCGGTGGTTCCTCCGGTGTCTTTCAGACCAGGAAGTCTGGTCTTTTTGTTGATTAGTGCTACATTGTTTCCTCATTGCTGACAAGGAAGTCTATTGTGGGGTCTTGGTCTGAGTGGAGGCAGTGATAGTTGGCATCACCTGGTTCTCTAGTCCAGGCAGTGATAGTTGGCATCACCTGGTTCTCTAGTCACGGGGTAGAGGGGGCCACATGTGCCGTGTGTAGCCCATTGTAGTCCCTTGGCCTAATTGCTTCCCTGAGACTTCCCACTACTGTACTTAATTCTCCTTTGCTCTAAGTAGGAAGAGACCAGTTGTTTCTTAGCTGGCTGATTGCAGACCCCAGCTGCTGCTCACCAGGCTAACAAATGGAACATTATCTACATGACCTTGTTTTCATTTTTCATAGCTCCTACCAATTTATTAGGCATCTTTTATATGGTAAGCTCCTGAGTAGGACCCGATGCACATTGCTCTTGGTTCTCACTGAATTATACAGTAGAGATGTTTGTTTTCCAAACCATTTTATTAGCCGCTAATCCAAACAGACTAGTCACAGTTCAGTTATATCAGGCAGTGGTGTCCCATCGCTACCAAATGACCTAGGTTTTGTCAGTTGACTTAGATGTCTCTAAGAGTCTGTGTTGGTCTTGTTTTTAAACCACTCTTTTTTTTTTAAAGATCATTTTATTGGGGGCTCTTACAGCTCTTATAATAATTATCCATATATCAATTGTATCAAGCACGTTGTACATATGTTGCCATTATTATTTTCTAAGCATTTACGTTCTGTTTCAGCCCCTGGTATCAGCTCTTCTTTTTCCCCCCTCCCACCCTCTTGACCCCTTCATAAATTATTATTTTCATATTTTATATCGACCACTGTCTCCCTTCCCCCACTATGGTTTCTTCCCACTGCCTCTCTCCACCTTCCCCTTCCCCTCCTGGCATTTCTACTCCCATTTCTGTTCCTGAGGGGTTTATCTGACCTGGATTCTGTGTGTGGTGAGCCCCTATCTGTACTAGTGTATATGCTCCGGTCTACCCCATAGTGAAAGGCAGGCCTGGGGTCATGATAGTGGGGGGTGAGGAAGCCTCAAGGGACCAGAAGAATGTTGTGTGTTTCATTGATGCTATGCTGTGCCCTGGTTGACTCATCCTTCCGTGTGACCCTTCTGTGAGGGATGTCCCATTGTCTACAGATGGGTTGTGGGTCTCTGCTCTCACCCCCCTCATTCTCAACAAGATGTTTTTTTTGCTTTTGGCCTTCTGGTACCTGTTAGCTGATTCCGTTGACACCTACAGGCTGGTGTGCTCCTTCCATGTGGGCTTGTTGCTTCTCTGCTAGATGACCACTTGTTTAACTTTAAGCCTTTAAGACCCCAGACACTCTTTTTGATAGCTTGGCACCATCAGATTTCTTCACCACATTTGCTTATGCACCCATTTTGTCTTCAGTGGTTGTGCCGGAGGGCAAGCATTACAGAATGTGAGGTTGTTAAAACAAAGCATTGGGGGAGGGCTTGAGCAGAGGCCCAAAGTCCATCCACTTCCTCAATGTATTTGCCATATAAATATATGTACATAGGCCAATACCTCTTTTTATGAGTTAATATATTTACATAAGTGCACACCTATGTTCCTACCTCTATCCCGAGCTTTGCTTCCTAGATCTTTCCTCTGCTTCCTTTTACCTTCCTCCTGCCCCACCATCCCGCTCGCCCTTCTTCTGCCTCTTAGTAATTCCTCTCAGCTAGATTGCTGTTGCTCCGACACCCCCAGGACCTCTACGTCCTCCTTGTTGATTTTAACTCCCTAGTTGTGCCCGTCTATGGTGTTGTTTGCTCACCGCTCCCTTCCCCTGTCTCCTTCGGAGCCTTCGATCCCATTGCTCTCTCCTCGGGCTGGCTTCCCATCCTATCTCTTACTTTTCTGATCTAACAACAAGAGCGCCTGTGGGTGATTCTACCTGGCTGCCATCTGGACTCCTCTCTCCTAAACCACGTTTACCATCCTCCTCTGTCCCCCAAAGTTTTGAGGCCGCTCACAACACACACACACACACACACACAAATGAGGAGCTGGCAAAATCGAGTAAAATCTAGTAAAAACCCCAGCCAAGCAAAACAAAGCTCAGTGGTGAACAGGCTGTTGGGAGCGGGTGACACTCAGGTGATACAGCTGTTAATGGAAGATGAAAAAACTGGCTCCAGTTTCCCTGGTAGCTAACATGCAGAGAGAAGAGTAATCCGTTACCTGGCTCTTACTGAATAAAAGTAAAGCCCATCCGGACTTGGGGGGAGTCAAAGCATTCTCCTTGCCCTTTACACTTGAAGAAATGTCACCTGAGTGATTCCATGAACATAGGGTCTAGCCCAGAGGTCAGCAAACTGCGGCTCGAGAGCCATATGTGCGCTTTCCATAGGTACATGTGGCTCTAAAGGAAAACCAAAAAAATTCAAAGTCTGTTCTTCAGATAATGGTGATTTCATTTGTTTGTCAAAATATACCTATGGCTTTCAAACCACTTTTAGAATGTGAGGGGCAGGATCGGCTCTTCTGTCTCAAAAGTTTGCCAGCTGCTGGGCTGGACAGATGAGGCTCAGGGCTCTTCAGGTAGCTCTTTACCGTGAAGGCCACTCCTTAACTCTGCTCCGAGAAAACCCTTCTGCAAGGACGTGTGTGTGGTTCTTGGTGACTGACCAAGCTTCGTGCAGTTCCAGAGCCAGAACACCCACAGAGCAGGGCTGGAGGACTGGCGCGTCTAATGAGCTGCGCTGAAGAGCGGGACGAAGTCTTTTTTTTCTTGGTATATTTTAATTTGTTCTTTGTCAGTGGCTTGACGTTGTTGCTGTTTTGCTGTACACCGTTGCCTGGCTTTGCCCTGTCTTCTTCCTGTGCATGTCGTTGTCTCTGCAGGCCTGTCCGGACAGGACAGGCTGGACGAACAATCTCAGCCCCACTTGGTGATCCTCGTGGGGGAAGCCCGGCCACGAGAGCAGGAGATAGCCTGTGTGTGTGGGGTGGGGGTGGAGGGGACACGAAGTCTTTTGAGAAGAATTCTGGAGCCTTCTCCAGGCGTGGCAGGGTAGAGCGCTACGTTAACTCAGATGCCTGACGGGTGTCAAAGGAAGGAGGGCATCATGTTCCTTCCCTGCCTCAGAGTGGCGTCCTTCAAACAGCTCTCTAGACTGGTCACCTCTCTCGTGGTGTGGGGGAGACCAGCCCCACAACCAAATGGGTCCAAGGGGCGGGGTAAATGAAAGAGACATCAGACAAGACAAAGTATGCAAGGGCTCACCGCTTCCATGTCCATTGGAACCAGAACGAGGGACGAATTGAAGGGAAGAAATTAAGAGACAGGCGAAAGCTTTGGGGTGCTCGCCTCCGCCATGGCTTCAGGAACCAGGTCTGAGCGGTGAAAGTATGTAATATATTCTCTCTTGAGCTTATAAAATCTCAGGCATGCAAGTCATGTTAAGCACATACATACCAGTGAGGGGTTGTATTAGAGGCATACGTGACAGGATGGGGGTGAGTTAGGGGTATACACGCAATAGGAAAGGGAGGTACTAGAGGCGTACATGTGACAGGAAGATACATACGAAACAAGAAGGGCAGATTCTAGAGCCCAGAGGGCAGCCTAACCTTGGTTTCTTCTCTGCATTGCCTTTGGCCTCAGTTGTCTTGGAGCTCTTTTCCAGGGGAACAAGCTACGATCCTTATCAGAAGGGAGTGGGCCCTCCTTAGGGTTAGATGGCCTAACTGCTTTTGACGGCAGATAACCTCCAAGCAGCTGACCTTCCAGCAGATATGGTGGCAGCCATATGCTTGCAAGTAGCATTTTAAAGTTGGCATTATTATGGGGGACAGCATGGGGAATAACTTATTACTTAGGAGAATGTAAGCGGGACGCATCTCCAACCCACAAACACGAAGGTTCCCTCCCCGAGAGCCCTGGCCTCCCAGACTCTAACGCACCAACGCTGAGAGTTTGTCTGAATGCACTCTCTTCCAGGTGCTTTCCCACATCATGGCTTTCGATGAACGTTTCTGAGTAGATTCTTCTGGGTTGTCTTTTCTGGCGAGATTAGCAGGCAGCTGGTGCTCTTGGCAAGTGCTCAGGCTGAAAGGAACCCTGACAACCTTGAGTGGATGGAAGAGGTTCCCTGCCTCCCAGCGGGCTGGAGGCCACCCACACTCCACTCAGGGTGACCTGTAAGCAACCCCCAGGATGTGTAAGAGACGGTGCAAAATTCTCTGCCACCCAGGCTAGTTGGTTCATTGGGCCTGGGGTGGTTTCCCTGGCTGGTTTTCCTGGTCACCTTCGCACCCCAGTAAACGGCAGAGCCAGCTCCCTGAGAACGCAGGCCTGTGTGGGGCAGCTCACCTGCTGGTGCATTGGCCAGAAGGGCTGTGCGGCGGTCAGGGGCTGCTCTGCGCCTTTCTAGCTCTGTTGCCTTCTGTGTAGCGCTTTCAGATGTGGACTGATTCTGTCTTTAGAGAGCAGCCCCAAATCACGGACTTTGCTTCCGCAGCACTGTTGTTAGGCTGTTCTATGGAATACCAGACACAAGGCCTTTGTCTGTTACGTCAACGTGCGGCTGTGTGGTCTGACTGTTGAAAGGGCTCTAGTCTTTGCAGGTGGGGTGGGGGGGCAGCGTCCATTCCAGCTCATAGAGGACAGAGGAGGCCTGCCCCCATCGAGTTTTCTGGGCTTCCATCTCCTTGGAAACAGATCACCTGAGTGTCTGGATGGGTTCAAACCACCCGCCTAATGGATAATGGTCACATGCTGAACCATTGTGCCACCAATAGGACATGAAAATGTTTCCTTTTAAAGTGTGTGTGTGTGTGTCCTCAGTTTAAAGAGCCTTCAGCTGAAAAGGAGGAGTGAAAGGCTGGCAGGCGCTCCCTGGTTCTGGCCCCCGCGCCCTGCTGTCTGGGACGATTTCTGAGTGTCCCCAAAGGGCAGGGCTGGCGTGAGCAGCTGCCCCAAACACCATCACTGGGCACCCGGAGCCAGAAGCTGAGAAGGGCGCCCTCTCAGGTGCCGCCTTCTCCTTCAGAGACTCCGCAGCCTGGCCGTGGGGACCTGTTTGCTCCCCAGCAGCACACGACAGTGGCTCCGGGAGCCGGACTGTGGGCCTCTTCAGAGTGATCACAGCAGGTTTCCTCAGAGCAAAGTCCCCAGGCCGCTACCCCCAAAGAGCTTGGCTTGGTGGTCCGTGCTGGCGATCTGTTGCAGTTAAAGCTTCCTGACCAAGCAGGCAGTGCAAGGAAGCAGTGCCCAGGGTGGAGGGTGGGCCTCTAGGCTGCAGAGGGTGGGAGGGCAGGCCCAGGTCCTCCTGTGTACAGGAGTAAGCCCTGGCTTTCAACCCCCTCAGGGGTGGTCTGTCCTCAAAGCCTCTCTCCCTGCAGTTTGGTCACGGTTTGTCCATGTGCCAGGCCCAGGGCTTTTGGGGTGTGTATTCACTTAGCATTCTGCAGCCCTGGCCGTGTCCTGGGTGAGGCTGCCCCTGCAGAGGCGAGGTGCAGGGGAAGGCGAGGCTGACAGGGAGCTGAGCAGGCCTGCCCTCAGAGCTGGCTCCAGGGCTCATGAGGGAGCACTGAGGAAAGGCAGCTTGCTGTCTCAATCATTTAGTGAGGCGGGCACAGGGCCCAGCCGGAAGCCCTGGCTCCGTGAGGCTCTGGGCCTGGCAGCGGGCTGGGTCACTTTCGTCTCTAGATCGCTCCTGGGGGCCTAGCCCCGGGGCAGGCTCCAGGAGCAGAGATGACCAGCTGCTTGTGTCTCTCCAGCTGCGGAGCCGTGACGGCTCGGAGTACCTGATCCAGCACGACTCAGAGGCCATCATCAGCACGTGGCACCAGGCCATCGCCCAGGGCATCCAGGAGCTGGTAGGCAGAAGCCAGGGCCCTAGAGCTGGTGTGTGGAGGAGAAGAAGAGGGGGCAGCCACAGTGAGGGAGGGCATTTGCCTACTGTGGTGGGTGGCAGGGCGTCAGGGGATGGGCCAGTTCTGGGGCTCCACTGGACTGACAGTAGCCGCAACAATGGACTTAGGTGTAATAATTGTGAGGATGAGGCAGGCCCAGGCCATGCTTCATACGCTGGTATGTCCAGTTGCAACTAACTGGACAGCACCTAACAATTAATAGCCTGCCTTCAATGGCAGGGGCAGGACCCCACTTATCGCTGGGGTCACCAGAGGAGCTGCTAAGGAAACAACTTTCTTAAGTATGAGTCCAGCCCTGGGGTTTGCCCCGCGGGATGGCAGGGGGGAGGACCTCAGCAGCTGCTGCTGCCCCCGGAGCTGGGCCTCCCCTGGGGTTGTGTGTCCCTGCCTCTGCCTTCCACCCAAACCTGACAGCCCAACATTTCCTCCTCTTTGTGGGAACACAGCCCCTTCTCTAGAGCTCCCTAGCACATCAGAGAGCCTGGAACTGTCAGGCACAACTCTGGGTGGCCCTCCCACTGGGCAGTGGCCCAGGATCTCTCCAGGAAGCAGCAGGGGAATCCTTGGGGCCTTGGCAGACTGGTGAAGGGCACCAGCTCTGGGCTCCAGCCTCAGGTGACACCTGACATCAGCCCAGGGCTCCCAGGATGGGAAGCGGACCCTGCACTCGGGGAACCCAAGCACCCACCAAGGGCCCCGCTGCTGAGGGTCTGTTTATATTACCTCAGCGACCCAAGGAGGGAGGATGTGAAGACAGGCAGGTGAGGGGTGGTAGCCCCAGGGAGGGCCTCCCCAGGAGCTGGAATCTGTGAGGGTCTTCAGCACACAAGGACCCCGTCCTGCTGAACTGGCTCACAGGAAAGCGGCTTAGTATACCTTACTGAAGGGCTCTCCCTTGAGGGCCAGCAGCTTCCCCGCTCCCTTTGCTCTGCTGTCTCCCCATCATCAGCCCCTTCTTGAAGTCATTTCCCATCAGCCCCCTCTTCAAGCCAGCTGTCTTCATGGTCTTGGGCTGGCACAGCTTCACGGGTGTCGGCCCCTGGAAGGGCCCAGCAGTCCCCCTCCTGATTTCCCTCACCCCTTACTAGTCAGAATCGCATCAGCTCAGGTGAGGACAGTGCAGATTCCATGGTGGGGCTCATGCTCCCCAGAGGAAGGTGGGCACACAGACAAAACCGGGGGGCTGGGTAGGTAGTAGGGCTGCGGGCTACACTTTCTCTTCTTCCCACTTTCGCTGTTGAGGACAAGGGAGGCAGAAAGACCGTTGACACCCAGTAACAGCCTAGGCTAGAGCCACGGCTGAACGGAAGGGATTGAATTCCAGTGTCCACTCGTTTCCTTAAAACATCAAATACAAAGCACTTGTATAAGTAGGTCATTCTGCCTGCTCCAGCCCCCAAACCCCCTGGGGCCTTTTTGCCCCAGTTTCCTGAGCTACCCCTGGGTGCATGTAGCATTTGAGGCAGGGGTTTGGATTAGTAAGGTGGTGGGGGGATCGTTGCTGGCAGGGTTCCATTAGGCTGGCATCACAGGCTCAGAGCTAGGAGCTCATGGCCTAGGGTGGGGTGTCCACTATGGGTCATCAGTAGCAAAGGGTGGGGACATAGTGGCTGTCATCACTGTCGGAAGGGCTCCCCACAGCGAGCTAGGTGAGGGAGCCGAGTCCCTGGTGGAGGTGAGGGCGCTCATCTGCTAAATTAAGTGCCTTCCTCTCCACCTGGGAGTGTCCTTGCTTGTGGGACTGGGAGGACCCCAGGTCTGAGGCTGCAATATTCCAGTCCGCAGACTTGCCCCCCGACGAGGAAAGTGAGAACAGCAGCGTGGACTTCGGGTCGAGCGAGCGCTTGGGAAGCTGGCGGGACCGAGAGGATGCGCGGCCCAGCGGCGCAGGTGTCCACTGGGGACTAGGGGCGGGGACAGGCGCAAGGCGCTGCCAGAGCCCCCTCCCTGCAGAAGGGAGGGATGCTGGCTGGGGACCGGATTGGTGTCCGATGCAGCGTCATGACCCCCCCCTCTCCCCGCCTCCACCCTCCTGCAGCAGCCACACTGGCCCTGGGGCCAGGGGTTCTGGAGAGTGACGTGAGCAAGGTCCGGCAGAAGCTTCGCAAGTTCCTGTTGAGGCGGCCCACGCTGCAGTCGCTGCGGGACAAGGGCTACATTAAAGGTACCCCCTGCTGGGCCAGGGCGGGCGGGGCCGGGGGGGACTGGACTGCGGGGCGGCGCTGACCAGCCTGCCCCCCAGACCAGGTGTTCGGCTGCGCGCTGGCCGTGCTGTGTGAGCGCGAGAGGACCCAGGTGCCGCGCTTCGTGCAGCAGTGCATTCGCACGGTCGAGGCTCGGGGTAGGCCTTCCCCCGGGAGCCCCTGCCCAAGCCCCAGGGGCGAGAGTGGGGAGCAGGGTGGAAGACCTCAGGCACACCCCACCCATCTACCCACACACCCCGGGATTCAGCGTGTCCCTCTGCTGCAGGCCTGGACATCGACGGGTTGTATCGCATCAGTGGGAACCTGGCCACCATCCAGAAACTGCGCTACAAGGTGGACCACGGTGAGACCCGCCCTGGCCCTGGCCCTGCCCTGCCCTCCTGACAGAGCACGGAGCAGGGCACTGACTGTCGTCCTGGCCGCC